TCTGACACTCCCTGTCCCTCCCTCTGTCCCTCCGTCAGCGGCTTCGGGTCCTGGGGGAGGACAGAGGAATGTGTCCGCCTCCAGCCGCAGAGGCACAGGGTCAACAGGCTGTGAGGAAGAGGATGAAGCTGCAGGGAGGAAGCCACACACACGGCAGCTTCCGCAGCGATCTTTATGAGGACATGTCATTCATTTCCATTCATTGGAAACAGGGCCGACCCAAACCCAGACCGGGCCCAGCAGAACCAGCTGATCTGTGGTTTATCAAGCATCTAAAACCACATCATCATGGGGGGGAAACAATGAAAACTCTGTTCCCACTCCCACTGTGGGGAGTATGAACTCCCTCACAGAGCAGTGGCAGTCAGAGATTTGAACCAGAAACCTTTTAGCCTAACACTCTGCTCTCCAACCACTGAACCACCACTACCACACCAGAATAATCCAGCTGATTTGGGCCCAGTCCTTTTTCTCTCACTTGCACTCAGTTTGGACCCTAGCACTCAGTTTTGCTCGTTCATATGTAAGGTTAGTGTGTCCCAATAGTTATAAGAGCTGGGGGGAAGTGCCCTCCAGCCCTTAAAATGATCCCTTCTGACCAAGTGAGGTCAGGAGCTGACTGTGGAACAGAGTGGCTTCCGAGAACTCATTTAGTAAAAATGGAAAAATGCTGTCCGGCTGTTGTAAATCACTAGCCTGACGTAGTCCGACTCAATTCTAGTCAGAATATGAGTCTGATACTGCTCCATAGAGCTGTGATTATTGGGCGTGTTTCAAACGAACCAGGAAAAAAAATGCCTCTGCACTCAATTGGATAGACCTACAACCAATAAGAGCAACGGAGTGCGTGACGTATATTAAGCGACCAAGGGAACCAGCTGATAAATTAAACTGTTGCCAAATCGCGTAGGAAGGACGCCAAAAACATCTTTCTTCTCAACAAACCTTGATCGCGTTTCTCTGTTCCTCTTTTAAAATTAATTTGCTGTCGATATCTTCTAGAACAGACCTAATAGCAGAATCTACTCACCCAAACTCTCCAGCGGCAGCCATTATTGTTGTCAACCAAGCGCGCTTTGGTGACGTGGTTGATTACGTTACTGTTGGTCATCTGTCCATCATCGTATAAAGCCCGCCCTGACAATTTGATTGGATCGCCTGACAGTGGGCGAAAATACTCGCTACTATGGAGCAGAGCCAGACCGAACTTCCCGACCTCAAACTTTGTGGGCGGGACTAAGTTCGGAATGGCACCCAGGCTAGCCAAAAACATCTTTCTTTTCAACAAATGCCTTGATCGCGTTTCTCTGTTCCTCTTTTAAAATTAATTTGCTGTCGATATCTTCTAGAACAGACCCAATAGCAGAATCTACACACCTCAACTCTCCAGTGGCAGCCATTGTTGTTGTCACCCAAGCGCGCTTTGATTGGCCCGCCAGATATTGTGCGAGCATACTCGCGCTACTATTGAGCATGCCAGACCGAACTTCCCGACCTCAAACGTTTTGGGCGGGACTAAGTTCGGATTGGCACCCAGGCTAGTAAAGAACTGCACTAATGTAAATATATTAACCACACATTTTTTTCTTTTCATTTTTGGAGTTTTTATAGCACTAGCGGCTCCTTTTTCTGACAGTAGGATGAGAGGAAAGGGGGTATAAGAGAGGGGGAGAGACATGCGGCAAAGGACCACAGGTTGGATTCGAACCCTGGTCTGCTGCATAAAGGACTAAAGGGCTGGTTATACTCCCGCAGCAGTGTGTCGCAGTTAGCTTGTCGCTGGTGTGAGATGGTTCTAGAAACAGGGGCAAGTTTGTCGGACAATGGACGGACATGAGGGCGAAAAAGAGCAGGGATCCAGGTGGAAAAGGGGTCCCAGCGTTCTCGAGTCGTTTTGCACATTGGCGGTCATACAAACAAAACAAGGCAGTACGGTACCAAACAGGAAATACGCATAGTGTAGAGCGGATGTAGATTTCACCAATCAGAGGCCACCTGTCTGCGACAACCTACAATTTGGGAGAGTTGCACCAGAGTATCTCAGAGTGTCTGCGGAGAAGGCGGGGACGTCTCTGCGTTCATTGTGACACCTACGCGGACAAACAAATTTCGAAGTATAAATAAGCCTTAAGGCCTCCGTACATGGGTCGTGCGAACTAACCACTGTGCCAACTGCAAGCCCAACCACGCATTTAAAAAAAAAAATAAGTTGGGATATCTTAGTTAGACATAAATACAACTGAATTCCTTACTGTTGTGCTAAAATATGAATATTGTTATTTCTTTCGCTATTTTTTTTCGTTATTTATTTGCTATTTCTTTTAATACGCAAATCTACCCAGTTTTTTTCAAGGTAACGTAGGATGTTTATGACCGCAGTGGGGTTGGTTGGATGTTCGGGCGCCACGGGGTCAGCTGGATCTAGTTCAAGGTTGATCTGACTGAGGGACGCCATTTTTAGCCAGCGTCTCTCAGTTGCCCATGCAGAAGGTGACTCAGGATGTGTTCACGCATGACATAGGTGAAAACATCACTGAAGTGTACAGTCTGATGTAATTTTACAACTAGTGGTGTCCCATTCCTTAGGGAGAAAGTCTTAACTTGTACTTCCCTTATTGAGTGTACTTCACTGTGGAGCAAACTCACTGGAGTGTTCTCAGAACCAACAGCGAGAAATTGGGACTGGGCCCTAGGCCTTGATTCCACCAACATGTTTGTTCTGACTTTGGCTCCTGTATGAATTCTGTCCAGAGTGGGATCTATGTGCAGGACCATCATGATTAGGGTGATGGCAAGGGGGCCTTTCAACATTAAAGACTTGGAGCTCAAAGATTAACATTTGTAAGGAGTTCACATCCCATCAACACTGAACCAAATGGCTGCACCAAACAAAGTTTAAACTCCAGCTGAATGAAGCGGGTTTTTCCATTAAAGAACATTATAAGCACCATGTTTCTCCTCTTGTTCTGATTCTGAGACCAAACAGGACGTCTTCTGCTGGAAAGACTTGGCTTTTCAAATCTATTAGATATAACTGTTAGAGTTAGGGTAACCGTAGCTCTAACTTAACATGCTATCCTCAAACATTAAGACGTTTCCTTTTTAACTGCAGCTTCAAGCAGCAGGAAAACCTGCGAGGAACAGAAACACTCAGATAAAAATGGGATCATCTGCAGCATAAGGTCCTTCTGAAGAAACATCATTTTATCCATCTTAATCAACCTCCTTTGAAGACTTTTATTCATCCCACATTGGACATACAGCTGTACGACTGACAAAAGTAAAGAAATACGACACAATAAATAAGAATCAGAACAGTTATCTATGAAAAGGTTTAATTACAGAAAGGGAAATAATGTCCAGGGATGTGAAAGCGAGAACAGGCGAAAACAAGTCCTTCAGCTAAACATATATATATATATTACAGGAATGACTCTTGAATCTTTGTATTTATTTGTTCATTAATTCTGCAGTTTTCTTTTTTTTATGTTATGCCCCAAGTTCCTGGGGAAAACATAAAACTCTGTTTTCATGTATGGTTAATACAGCTATTACTTATCTGTGCACATTAATTATGTTTTTGATAAAAATCCTTTCGCTAAAATGCCATCAGAACACTTATAATATTAAGTGTGTCTCAGCCCCCCTCTTCAGTGTCCACCATATTGGATCAGTTCATTTGCTGCACATGTTCAGGATGGTCCAAACAGACAGCAGCAAACCATTTGAAAACATACGATGGAAGAGCAGTATTGCCAACTTAGTGCTTTAGGGGCTATATTTAGTGATTTTTCAGACGCCTCTAGCATTTTATTTCTAAAAAGCGCCTAGCACCAAATCTAGCGTCTGTTTTCAGCTACTGGAGACTTTGGCGACAACATCTAAAAGCAGCGAACTCTGCTCTCTAGAGCAAGTAGATTGGTAACCCCGCCTCCTGCTCTCCTCTATCTTGTCTGCTGTCATGATTCATGCAGCTATTATTTCATCCAAATGAAAAATGGAGAACAGAGAAGCAGATCATGGCTTGTCTACAGTGAAAAGAAGGACTGGGTTATTTACTTTTGCCATCGCCTTTTTGGAAACACAGGAAGGAGCAATCAGCTAAGTGAGCTTAGTGCTTGGAAAAAATCTTTCATGCCTTTTGAGACAGCATGAACAGTCAGCTGAGTAAAAAACATAGAGAGGAAAACAACAAGAAAAGGGAGAAAACCTAGAACTAATAATGTATGTCTATTCTATTAAAATTTCTGTATCTGTATAATGGGTCTGTTTTATGTGTTGTCTTCTCAATTCAGTTGGCCCCCAATTGTTTTTGTCTAGGGCCCAAAATTTCCTAAATCCGGCCCTGGTTGTAAATACCCTTACTGTACAGAATCTTATTCTAAAATTTAGCTTTAAACTGTTTGTCAATCTTCAGACTTGACTTGATTTGGTCAGTGATTCCAGTCTATTCTATCCTTTATAGTTTCTGTACTTTGAACAGAGACCAACTGCTAAGCAATTATTTTCTTATTTATGAATAAATAGATTTATTTATCAATTATTTATCAATTTCATTTATTTTTATGTAGGCTTAAAAAGATAAGAGAGAAAATTAAGAAGAAAACAGTTTGAAGATCCTGTGATTTGTAATAATTTAGTTGCAAAAAGAAATAGATGTAAAAGTAAATATGAAATCAAATAGTACTTAATAAAATATACATTGTTTTTTTTTTTATTAAATTGAATAAAAGTGACGAACATGAAAGCGTTAAGGAACCAAATCAAGTATTTTGCTGTAAATTACAAGCATTGAAATCAGCAAAATGTTGCAACTAATTTAAAACACGTCAAAAAGGAAAATAAAGTGCGTTTTACGTTAACAAAAGCCCTAAAACTAAACTACAGCCCCCATGATACAACAGTACCCCGATCAGCGAATCAAAAGCTAACGTTACTTTTTACACCAATCAGATAACGGAAGACCACTGACGTCACACGCTGTTGTTTCTATTTTTATGATTTTTTTTCTGAGCGGGTCTACGGCTGGAGGCGCCATCTTGAAAGACGAAATTTTTTGATAAAAACGGCTAAAAGCTTAAAAGCAGCACGATGTTGTATCTGGAGGACTACCTGGAGAGTGAGTTCGGGGTTGTACCCGGGGGGCTGCGGGGTTTTATTGGGGTAATAAGCGCTAAATTGGTGTTATTTCTTGGTCGGACCATCAACGTCCTTGTTTTCTCCTCCCGCAGTGATCGAACAGCTTCCCATGGACCTCCGCGACAGGTTTACGGAAATGAGGGAGATGGACCTTCAGGTTCAGAGTACGGTCAACGAACACAGACACACCGTTACACACGACGTGTTTATCCCTCAGAGTGATTTTAAGTTAGCAGAGGAGCGTTTATAGAGATTCTTAGAGCCAGATTGAGCATTTTAAACAGGAAAGCGGGCATCTCTATGGGTTTAAGTGTCCAACAGTGCCCCCTACTGACCAACAACAGGAACTGTTGGGTTGTACTCTAAATTAACTATGTTTTTGTCTCTAAAACAATCCTAAAATTACATTAAAAAGCTTGAAATCCTAAAACTGAAGTGATTTGTCACTTTTTTTTTAACTTCAAACACAATCTTTACTCTGTTTTGTGTGGAGCTCAAGTAACAGGCCACCCCAAAGTGGGGATAATGATGAGAGGAGATGGAGAATAATCCATGTTTCTCAATAAATATTTAAGAGCAGCAGGGATTACAGCAGTGCTGGCTGGTGCAGTTTTCTCCAGGGGGGGCTATAAATTCACAATAGACGTATACCAAAAAACAATCAAATGTACAGTAAGTTATCACACCAGTATATTTATATGAATGCCAACAACAAAAAATATTTTAAAAA